GCAGCGCAAGCGCCCTTTGACTCTTGAGTTCAGGAAGTGAACAGCAATATTCCATTTTAGGTCTGATCGGACTCTCAAGAGATCAGGATCATTTTTTCCAGCGTCTTTAGCTATTAATTGTATTTCCAGTTGTACAAGAAAAGAATCCGCAGGTTTCATGTTTTGTTTTGTTTTTTTAGAAAAGTGTAGCTTTCAGGTTTAAGTTAGGATTTGTTTTGTTTTTTAAAGACAAAAAGTGATTAGTAAACTTTAAAAAAAAAAAAAAAAAAAAAAAATTTGATAAGCAGGCGAAGTTTGTTTGTCTCGGAGATTATGTCAAGTAGGCAGAGATGAACTGACAATTAAGCCGACCAGTAGAATGGAAGTTCATTGTCCATAGATGTGAGGAGAAATAGCAGAAAAAATAATTACACTGTAAAAGCACTATATATATATACATATATTTATATAATTAAGAGACTAGATTCATCCATTTAATTATAAAATATATTTCTCCTGATCACTGAATAGAAACGTCAGTAGTTAGAAAGCACTATTGGCTTCAGACAAGTACCCAGGTACATGTATGTCCCATGGGTAGATAAAGACAGGTGAGGCCTGTGGCATTGTGAACAGTGACTGACAAAGTAACGAGAAGTGTGTGGGTGTCTAGGAAGAGGAGAGTAGTGGAAAGAGTGAAGAAAAAAGTTTCACTCTACGGTGAGGGAAGAAGACGAATAGCAGTGATTGTCGTACATTGTTCAGGTTGTGTAGCGACAAGGAATTTTTTAAAAGGTGTTCCCACCCTTTTAGATATATATGTATGTTAGTCTCCATTTTGAGCTTTTAGAAATATTACAGGAGTTTTGGCAGCGTCTATCTAGCGCTGTTTTATTGAAAGCATTAGATATAAAATCATAGAAAAGTTTTAATTTAAATATCTTGGGGTTTGTTAGAAACAGTTCCTTTAAGTGGATAAAGGAGAATTATGGAGGTTTCTTTTCAATGAAAAATTCTCCTACTCATCCCAGCAGGTTTTTTTTTTAATCCACAGGTTTTTTTTGTTTTGTTTTTTTTTGCGGGGGGGGGGCTCTCCAAATGTAAAGTGCGTCAGTAAATGTAAGAAAAAACATCTTTAGAAGTTCAACTCTTCCAAAACATTCTGCTCGTGACGAGGAAGGAAAGAAAAGGAAAAAAAGCACGTAGTTCGTGCAAAGTCCAAATTTAAGGTACCCACCACCCATCAAGTGCTCGTAAATAATTTTCACATGGAGTGTCTTCGCGATCCAAGCGTGTTTTAAGGTGCACGTACGGATTAAAACCCTTCAACGTTGAAATAAATTATCTTCTCGGTGTGTAGACGCTGTCGTCCGCCTTATCACTACAAACAGTCTGTCGCCGTCCGCCGTAGAGTGGGAAGAAAAACTCAAGTGAGTGGTTAGGCAAGTGAACGCTATTTATGAGTGAGCGCTTCAATGAATGGGTAAGTTGAAAAGACCACGCATGCGCACACACACCCAACTACCTTTGGGAGGATCGTCAGGACAGAGAAGGGAAGGTGGAAGCCTAAAAAAAAAAGAAGGGAAGGTAAAATAGGTAGGGACGGGGGTCGTTTCAGTCGAGAATCTTATTTTCTAGGGGTTAAGTTTATGCAAGGCCCTTAGTGAATGTGTACAGCCCGGATGTGAAACAGGGATGGTTACAATCGGTAAAATAGGGACGTAGATGGTTTGAAGTGACAAAAAAGGAATGAAAAGACTCTTAAAAAGTTTAATAGTAGATAGAGAGAGGGAAATCACTGAAAGAAAGAGATTTTTTGCAGAGTGTGTGAGAGAGAGGGAGAGTTAAACAAAAATGATATAAATTTTTTTCGATGTATGAAATAACTACCACATAGAAAAAAAAATCCAATTGCGCTTAGAAACGAAAATTTTGATGGAAGGTCTACTTTTTAAACATATATAGGCAGGGCCAGTGCGTACTACTCTCAAACCCCCTGACCGAGGGACTAAGCCTGATTGGGGACCCCCGGGCAGTGCTTTGTGACCCTCGCTATCTTATCAGCATTTGCTTCTTTTTTTTTTTTTTTTTTCCTAACTATGCGTTACAAACCAAGCACAACTGACGATTTAAAGACAAAAGTTTTACACGAATTTTGAGGTCATTCTGATTTGTTTTTTTGTTTTTTGTTTTGCTCATGCGAAATCTAAAAAAAAAGTACACTAACTATTTTTATCGATAAATGTTGAATGTGGTAAAAATAAAATTATTCAACAAAAGTCGCAAGATGATGTTAAAAATTTCCGCAAATCATTGTGTATCTACTTCTATTACGTACGACATGTCTCTAAATTTGTATTTAGATAAATTCTTTATTTTCAGTTTTATTTTACGACTTGAATCATTCACCTATATCGCATGCAATCCATTATTGTACTTAATTAGGTTACAATAAAACTTGTATTTTATATGAATACAATATTGTATTTATATGAATACAATCATTTATATGAATACAATCATTTATATGAATAATACAATATTATATTTATATGAATACAATCATTTATATGAATAATACAATATTGTATTTATATGAATACAATATTATGGAAATAGAGATTTAGCAGAGTGGTCCCCGGATCATAGATTCGAGGGGAGGGACATATAACCTTAGTACAGGCCATATATATATATATATATATATATATATATGTGTGTGTGTGTGTGTGTGTGTGTGTGTGTGTGTAAATATCCGCATCTAAAGTTATGCTCTCTGACATACATTCGCAACAAAAAATCTATCTCATTATAAATAGACACATCTACACATCTATTTTGCATATATATATATATATATATATATATATATATATATATATATATATATAATTTTAGGTAGTAAACCTTCGTTTCAATATGTTCTATTGAAAGGATTGGGAATTCAATATAATCACATAAATTATGTTTAAAAATAGAACGGGCGGAAAATATATGGAAATATAAAACAAATTACTGCGAGTGTTGGTAATATATCTGTAAAAATATATCTATATGAATAAAGAAAGATAAAAGGAAAACTTTTCTTTACCCACGCGTTACGTCCTCTTATGGACTTTGTCAAAATAAAATCCTTACATATTTGCCTTGATTCAGAAAACAACCCTTTTGTCATTATTCATTATTTGTGTGTGTGTGTGTGTGTGTGTTTAGATATTTTTCATTTTAAACTTAAAGTATTGCTTTTGGGTTTTTTCGAATATATAATAAATGAGGAAAAAACCTCAAGGATCTATTTCGGTTATAATTTATTTCGTGAATATTGTTATATTCATCTCTTCAGATCGAATGTTCTTAATAAATGGAGACACTTCATCCGGGCAGATAACAGTAGGAGAAGAAAGGGGGGAAAGATTTTTAGAATAGAATATTAATATATAATTACATAAAAATATAAAAATATTCACGAACTTTTTATAACCAAAATTGATCTTTAAGGTTTTTTCTTGATTCATTATTAAATGCTTTGTAATTTAAATTTACATTGAGTTCTCTTTGAATTAATACCCACCTTGGAATTACCCCTACCAGTCACAAATTGGTAATATATATATATATATATATATATATATATATATATATATATATATATATATATATATATATATATATATAAAGTTCGTGTGCACTTTAAAAAATTATAACTTTATTTGTTATTATACAGTGTTTCAACAAGATGGAGCTTCTTGTCACTTAACTGCGTGTTAGAGAGTTTCTAAATCAGGAATTTCCTAACAGATGGATCGGAAGGGGTGGACCATTTTATTGGCCTCCACGTTCGCCAGATTTGACTCCATTAGATTTTGTTTTATGGGGACATGTGAAAACAATTGTGTATGCAACCAAACCTAGTTCATTAGAAGATTTGAAAGCTAAAATAACTAATGTGATTTCAGGCATTACTGTAGTTGGCAAATGGTTTCCGTGAACTGCAAAATCGTATTACCCTTTGTATTGCTAGTGATGGAGGACATGTGAAAATTTCAATAAAATCTTAAAAAATATAGATTTACTTATTTTTAATCCTTTTTACAAATTATTTCTATCGCAAATACAAATAAAGTTATAATTTTTGAAAGTGCACACAAACTTTATGGACACCCTGTATATCGTAACTTCTTTTTCTGGGGAAGTAAAACATAGTGTCATAATAGACCAGAAATGCTGCGAAAACGACATCTCGAGATGGTGAGTAAATATTTTGCTATCGAACCCCCACCAGAGATCATTGGAAGCAAATGCCTAAGTTCTCTGTCTGGATGTCTTCTCTTTCACTTCTTTCTATAGACGTAAAAAGTATGTGTTTCGCGATAGTCAATGCACATATTAACAACTTAACATTATTACTACAGGTGCATTTCAGACATAAATATTTATCCACACCTACCTAGATAGGTAAAAAAAAAAAAACACACACACACACATTCGAATGACAACATTTCTAACATTAGCGCAAACATATCTATCAGGTAACGTAAAAATATGTCAATAAATATAGGACTACGCAACTATCTATTAAAAAAGAATGTTCTCATAAGCTCCTACACACATACACACACACTCTCTCTCTCTCTCTATATATATATATATATATATATATATATATATATATATATATATATATATATAAATATATATACGGAGAATATAAAGAGGAAGCCAGAACGAAGAGGGGGAGAGAGAGAGAGAGCTCATGTACCTGCACCAACCTGTAACTTTCGTTCTACCGACTCGTTAATACGTGTGAGCACGGCAGGGCAGAGGACGAATAAAAAACTTTTTTTCTCTCTCTCTATCTCTTACAAAGCAAAGAATGAGGACAAAAGAAAGAAAGAAAAAAAAGACGAAAGAGGACAAAGAATTAAAAAAAAAATCTGTGATGGTGGAAGGGTAGGTCTGTGGGGTCAGGAGAAATGCAACGAACGTGGTATGTGGAGGTTAGGGTCGCTGGCAGGTAGCAACTAGAGTTCAACTTTATTGTGTGTGCGAGAAAGACGAAAAACCCAGAAGTAAGTGCGGGGCGGAGTGTACGGAGAAAGGAAAGGTAAGAAAATAAAGAAAAAACAGAGGGAAGAAAGAAAGAAAGAAAAAAAAGAAAGAAAGAAAGAAACTACGGATGAATAAAGGTAGATAAATACTAGAATGAAAGATATGGTGAACGAGCAAGCAATGTGACTAATAAAATTATAACTGAAATGGAAACATTGAAAAGGGTATGTTGTATATTTTTATAAATATTTTCAGGGGAGCTAAAACAAAAATGCCTAAGTTACATTTTAATCAGAAAAATAAACAGCTTTGAAATGTATACCTTCAGCAATGTACTCTGAAACTAGATTCTCTGGCAACTAAACTGATTTTTAACATTCTTTTTTTATTATTTTAAACTCTCTATAAAATATTCTATTTCTAAAATTTATGTGACATTCTTCATATGACTGTTTCGTAAATCCTGAACTGGGTTTTAAAAGGGGTCAGGGTACTATTGAAGATAGAAGCATGCAGAAATCATTGACAAAAGTCGTCTGTTAATCATTAACACTGTTTCCCAGCACCTCCTACACGCAGTAAGAAACGAGGCTAAAAAGACACAGGGTTTTGGTTTACTTAACATCTGAATTCGCTGAGATTCTGTTTGGCCTGTTTTCTATCGTTTTTATCAAGAAGCAATAGTCACCTACCACCATATCCGGAGGATCAACCAGGCTTGACCGTTTGAAAGCGTCTCTATGGTATTTGAAATATTATCAGTATTTGAAAAAAAAAAAAAAAAAAAAAAGCAGTACGATATGGAATATGAATATTTAAGGCCTGACTCCAATTATTTATGTATGACTTTAATTTCGTCTTCGATCATGATATCAATAATAATGTGACCCAAAATGATTTAAAACTTAATCATATCAGCAAGGTAGCTTTTTAAGCTCAATTTCTAGTGACGAGTAGATATGAACAGAATTAGATAGATAGATAGATAGATAGATATGAACAGAATTAGATAGATAGATAGATAGATATGAACAGAATTAGATAGATAGATAGATAGATAGATAGATAGATAGATAGATAGATAGATAGATAGATAGATAGGCAGGCAGGAAGGCACGCACGCACGCACGCACCTCAAGGTGGTGCAATGGTTAGCAAGCTTGTCTGGCTAGAACAATTACGACTGAGTAATGAGTTCGATCCTCACTGGGTGCCCCATACTTCGGCCTTGTGCCACATCTAAGCTACGCTTGGAAAATCGATAGATAGATAGATAGATAGATAGATAGATATGAACAGACTTCAGGCATAGATAGATATGAACAGACTTCAGGCATAGATAGATGAACGTGAACTGTAAACTTACAGGAAATAGTCACATGAAAAGAACTAAAAGTAGTTCCATTACTAAAAGGAGGACTTTCATTTATACTGAAAAGTAAACTAATTTCTACAGCGATTTTTTTTTTAATTTTAAGCAAGGAATACCAGATTAAAGTAAATTAAAAAAAGTGAGCCAATACAAGTCATTTAGTTGGATGTGGTGGGGATATTATAACTGTCTAATTACTGATAGCCTCGACGGCACCAGGATTTATGAAGAATTGTTCAAATATCGTCTTCTCAGTTTATAGAATGCTTTGTCTGGTTGATCTATGTCTCTTTCAACGCTAATCTGATGACGGACCCACTTCAACATAATCTTATTTGAAAAAAGGTAGGACTGTGTTTTAATTAAAATATTTTCTGCTACGAATAGACATTTTTTTAAATAATATCTTCATCGTTTGTCTTTTAGCACAATGTAAAATCCTGAAATTTAAATAGACAATTCGAAAATGACCCGAAACTTTTTGATAAAATGCAAAATATTTTTTAAGATACTGTTATGATTCATGAGAGATGTTGATGATATTTCATCATTCTAGAAAGAAAGATCTAAAATTTCATCATTCTGAAAACAACTTTTAGATCAGACGATGATTTTAGAACTTTATTTTTAGAAAGATGAAATATCATCATCATCATGAATCGTAGCAATAACAAAAAAGAAACATGTTTTATCATGAAAATATTTCAGAATCTCAAAATGACTACGAGGCTGTCCAGAAATAATGGTATAAAAATTGGGGTAAAAGATTCTGTCGCTAACCACATTGATAGAATTGTCGCTACACAATATTGCAAGCTCTTGTGTTGCGGCATACGAAGAAAATTCCCATTAAAAGCTATTTTTATTTAAATGCAGACCACACGTGTAACGACAGTAACGTAATTTCTCTCACTCTCTTAGAAAACACCCCCTATCAACATACGGATAAATTAGTTATGTGCCATGTTGATACACGCTTAGACTGACGAGGCAGATTTTTTCCCCTCAGTAGGTTGCCATTTCTTTCTGCAGTAGACCAGTTGCCATCCAAGGCTATAGAACCTGGTCCGTCCTGCTATTTACCCATAGCTGGTGGGGAAGAAGAGGATTCATACCTTTCCCATGGGTATTAGCACGTAAGTGATTCGATTCAGATTCGAACTCGGCTCTCCGATTCCTCAGTCCGAGCAGCTATCCATTACTCCACCGTAAACGAAAATGCTCACTAGGCGCTCAATCGCAAACACATTATCATCCGAGTCCCGCAAAGATAAACTAGAATTTTGATACACCCTACACGCATGAGTTATAAACACAAACGTTACTTGACAAGAGTAATGCACGTGAAGCCTGCTTAACCACTAAAAAAAAAAGAAACGACACAAAAATGAAAATACAAGAATTTTCTTTTCTCCACATATTTCATTTTAAGGTAAAGCTTAAATAAAATCGAAACATGTTAAATTTATAAACGTTTCCTTTGTTCCGTATTCTATATTTCATCCCCATTTACACACACACACACACACACACATGTATGTATATATATATATATATATATATATATATATATATATATATATATATATATACATGTGCGTGTGCGTATATTTTCGTCTTTATTATTATTATTCTCTGTAGTCTACATTGAGCTCTCCCTGGATTAATATCCGCCTTAGAATTATCTATACCAGTCATAAATTGGTAGTATATATATATATATATATATATATATATATATATATATATATATAACAATGATTTTGTTCCGAAAAAAGATCGCACATGGTATTTCTAGAAGAAATTTACTTTCGTGTTTTACGGAGATTACATCTACTTGTCTGAAGATTTTATTTTGAGGAAGATAAAGAGACAGAGAGATGTGGGGAGAGAGTGGCAATATTAAAAATGTTTATACAGGTTGCATCAGGCAAAACCCATGCCAATAAATAAAAAATGACCGAACATCATGTTACGCATCATGCACCAAATGTTAACATATTTCCCTCTCAAACGTATCGAGAGCATTAGCACAGCAGCTTCCAATCTAACATGGGAATTGAAATGTCACTCCATGTTCGTAGCACTAGCTACCAAACAGAATTTGGAGATAGCCAGCTTTATTGCAAAAATGGCCAACTGAACAGGCGATAACCTACATTAGATACTCACAGTGATGCTCACAAGGTTCACAACGTTTGTGAGGGCAGTAAGCAATGAAGGATATGTCATGCAGTCCACTACTTCCTACAAATCGTCATTTCAATCGAGGTGAGACACACGATAATCAGAGTCTGGTTCAAGGGTTAACCGGAAATATTGTCACTACCACATAACCCATGTGATCCAACGGTGGCTGAGCGAGAATTGTAACCTATACAATAACCCCATAGTGTTCACCTCATTTTCCTGATCTAAATCGTCAAGAAGGAAACCAACCAGCTGCACCCATAATTACGAGATTTATGAGACTGAAATCATAAAATAAAACTGAAGTCTTCAATAAAAGACTGAAGTCACAAATGAAAGACTGGTGTCATAAACAAAACACAGAAGTTTTCAAGAAAAGATTGAAATCATAAATAAAAAATTGGTTTCATAAATAAGAAACTGAAGTATTTAATAAATGACGGATGTTATAAATAAAAGACGCGATGTCATAACTAAAAAAACTTGTGTCGTAAATAAAAGACTGAAATCACATATGAACAACTGATATCACAAATAAAAGGCCGTCCTTTCCCCAATCCACTTTTTAGCCTTGTGCCACATTTTGTACAATCGCACGAATAAATATCGATATCACGAATAAAAGATTGGTGTCATACATAAAAAAAACGGATGTCATAGATAAAAGACTGATGTCTTCAAATAAAAACTGTGATAATTGAAAGACTGGTGTCATAAATAAAAGACTGTAACCACAAATGAATGATTAATGTCATAAATAAATTAAAGTTATAAATAAAAATAAAGATTGAAGTCATAAATGAAATAAATGACTGAAGTCATAAATAAAGCTGAAGTCATAAATGAAAGTCTAAAGTCATAAATAATGTAAAAGAAACAAAGACTCATGAGACACTTGTATTTAACAAATCGATGGAAGAAGGAAAATTAGTGAGTTTTTTTTTAACTGCACTCAAACATTCGTGCATCACACTGGTGGAAAATACGCTGAATATCAATATGAAAATTAAACTCTTTGGGTCCCGTCACTGAATCTAACCAACGCCTTTATCCACTGTGCCATGTGTCCTTGAGTGACATGACCCAAAGAGTGTAAGTTCAATACCAGGTTAAGGCAGTGGAAAACTTGGAGAGGGAAATTAACAGGAGATAACTGATAACTGACATCCATTAAACATGGCACGTGGAACTAGAACAGTCTACCCCAGTGAGCGAAATAAAGGGTTCAGTTCGACATTCCAACCACCTGAAGAAAGCCGGAGCGCACAACGGCCGAAACGCTGTAATAAATATGGCGACAAGGATGAGGACAATAGTCCGAATAACGTAAATAGTGAACTTCCATACACTATACAAAAACTTGTTGCAAAAATGTAAATTGCAGGTGTAAATTTTACCACAATTCTTATGTTTCATGCCTTCAGGACATTGGCGATCATGGCTCTCCACAATTTACTGTCTTTTGTAGCTCTAAATAAATTTTGTCTTCTTCTTATCTTTCGTAAACCCTGTTCTGTCATCCATCTACACAAGCTCGTTGAATAGATTATGCGCTGTTTTCCAATGTCTCTCTAATGGAATTTTATTTACGGCATTGTGATATGACTAATTGCTACCGCCAATATGAAATAATATTAGTCCAGACAAGGGCGTATCTACCGGTCTATGGCAAACCGTGAGTTTGACCCTCATTGGGTACCCTATTACCGTAGCTTTTCGGAAGACAAACCTCAATGGGTACCCTGTTATTGTAGTATTTTGTATGACAAGCCTCAATGAGTACCCTATTATTGTAGCCTTTCACAAGAAAAACCTCATTGAGTACCCTAGCATTGTAGCCTTTCACAAGAAAAACCTCATTGAGTACCCTAGTATTGTAGCCTTTCACAAGAAAAACCTCATTGAGTACCCTAGTATTGTAGCCTTTCACAAGAAAAACCTCATTGAGTACCCTAGTATTGTAGCCTTTCACAAGAAAAACCTCATTGAGTACCCTAGCATTGTAGCCTTTCACAAGAAAGGCTTCATTGAGTACCATAGCATTGTAGCCTTTCACAAGAAAAACCTCATTGAGTACCCTAGTATTGTAACCTTTCACAAGAAAAACTTCATTGAGTACCCTAGCATTGTAGCCTTTCACAGGCAAAACTTCATTGGGTACCCTAGCATTGTAGCCTTTCACAAGACAAACCGCATTGAGTACCCTAGCATTATAGCCTTTCACAGGACAAACTTCATTGAGTACACGAGCATTGTAACCTTTCGGAAGACAAACCTCACTGAGTACCTTTTGTAAGACAAACCTCAGTATGTGATCATTAATTATACGCATGCTGTTGCATCAAAATGATGAGGCAATACGTATATGGAACCTTTGAGAAAACATGACATTTGACCCAAACGTATCAAAATATCAATCCGTGACAGGAAACAGAAATCGAATATTTAAAGAAAATGAATTTCGTTACCATTTAAGTGCGTATCTCTTCACTGTTATATATATACAATTACATTATTGCTAAAAAAAACGGATATATAGAAATTGTATATATGAAGAAAAGCAACAATCAAAGAGAAGAAAAGCAAAGATAATAGAATAAATCTCAGTAAATATGTCACCAAATATAATACTGGAGACAATATATATTAAGTCAAGGTAGCCTTCACTTTTTAAGCAGAGTGAATGGCTGATGGGACTTATTATACTCATATATATATATATATATATATATATATATATATATATATATATATATATATATATATATATATATATATATATTCCTCTGCTGATTCCCTGGTAGTTCTTATTTACCGTTTTAAACGTTGTGCATGTTGCAGTTTTTTGTATATATTATATACTAGTGAGCTAGCCCAAATGACTTGACTCACTTTATAGTCCACCAATAGAAGGTTAACCAATCAGAAGACGTAGAATATTCAATCCGTCGTATATAAAGGCGGCCATTTTGTTTACTCTCTCCGAATGTCCAGTGCCAGCTTATCAGGCGAAAGAACAGAAGGAAGAACTACTGAACTACGCTCTGCTACTTTACCGGGATATCCACTGCTAACCTGAAATACGCTTCCCTACTGTCTTCGAAATATTCACTGCTAACCTCTGGATTCTATACTCAAAGACGACCGTCATCATGAACAACAGTGCACACAATTCCACGTTTGTCATACATTGTCTCCGAAGAGCTAGGATCGAAAATAGTTTAACCCAATTTTTTGTTATTTGCTTGTTTTTTTTTTGGGTGGGGTGAAAGGTGGGGTTATATTTTTTCGACACAACTTTATACGCTGATTTATTCTATTATCCTTCATTTTCTTTCTTTTTTTTTGCGGACTTTTTTTCCTTATATACAATTTTAATATGTCCGTTTTGCTATCATCAATAACGTTTTATACTCCCCAAATATTATAACGACACACATCCTTCTTTTTTCTCCTCAAATAAATTGTTTTTTTTTTTAAATCAACTAATATCAGTTTGTCAGACACACACAGTCGCAGTCACACATCCGGTCTATTCTCTAATAAAGGATATTCGACTATGTTCATGTGTGTCCGGTTTTGACCCTTAAAATCATAGACAGTGGAACCTCGGTTTACGAACTCAGTTCGTTCCTAAGTCCGTTCTTGACTCGAAATGTTCGTTAACTGAAACTATTTTTCCAATAGGAATCAATGTAAAATGGATTAATTCGTTCCTGGTCCCAAGATGATTGCTTATTTAAACTTTAACAGTACTTTGTGCACAAGTTTATACACAAAAATAATTAAAATCATTAAATCTAAGAAAAAAAAAAAAAACCCAATACTAAAAAGATAAAATATAGACGGACATTTTAATTTTACCGTACCTGTATGTAGGAGAGATGATGGCGGAAGTGGGAGGGGAAGAAAAGAGATGTTATTGTTTGGAAAAAGGAAGGAAAGACATGATCGTCTCTTTATTTATAAGAATAGTAGAGATCATGATTTTGCCATATGAAACTGTGTAGGAAGAGATAATATAATCAACAATTGTTTTTCTCTTAACTTTTCTTTTTCCTTTACCAATATCAATGCTAGATTTCTTTGGAGCCATGACTGAGGACTAATGAAGAGATTAAAAAAAGGCACATTACAATAAAATTGGAAAAGAAAAGCACAACACACGAATGTATACAACATGGCGGTTGACTCAGAAATGGTTCCGTTCGGGTTAACTCGGTTTGACTCGGTTCGACAATGTTATTCGAGAACCGAAATTTTGTTTAATAACCGAGGCATTTTCATCTCGAATATTCTGTTCGAAAACTGATTTGTTCGACATGTGAGACATTCGAGAACCGGGGTTGATCTATATATTCTTATTGATCATGTTTCAGTTAAGATTTTGATAAAGTTTATTTCCATACTCTTTATATAAAATAAGATATTTTTGTAAATTAAAACATTTTTTTCGTTTGAATTCAATAATTTTTACAGAGTTTTTTTTACGCTTAATATTGTTCAAAAGGATAAAAAGTTAAAAATTTCTTTTGTAAGAATCAATTTGGTCTGGTGCTTCTGCTATGTATCTAGAGGTTCTTGTCAAAATCCAAAAACGAATCTGTAACGTTATCTATCCTCACCTGGCATCTCGGCTTCAATCAGGTCTCCCTGTACCTTTTCTATAAATTTTCATTGCAATTGTTCTGATGAGATTTCCTCTTTGGTACCTCGAGTTTACGAATTTAAGCGCAGTACTAGATTGGCAGTTAGGTTTCATCATTTAACTCTTGAAATTGCTAGTTGTAACCGTAAGTTTTATCCTAATTGTTCCTTATTTCGCACTTCTCAGCTGTGGAACTCTCTATTACTTTCCTGTCAACATCAATTGTCATCTTTTGACATCTCTCTTCATAATATCGTTTTCTTTAATTTTCAGTAACCCTTTTCGTCTTAGTGGCTTTATCCCTTGCTTAGAGTAAAATCATTAATGGAAAATGTGCAGCAGTAGCCAATTTTATTACAAAGCATTCTCTGAATGTATCCCTCATCTTGTCGCCTCGTTCGAGTCGGACCTAAAATCTTTGTCTCCATGATTGAATATTAACTGTCTTGGCCCTAATACTGAACAATACCTGGCCTAACGCTTACCTGTCCTCGACACTCAAGGTAAGAACGATTAAAAATAACCAATGATTTAACAACAACACATTGACTGTGAACAGGTGACTGGGGAGTAGCTGGGGTTCTGGCCAGTGCAAAAAGGCGAAAGGTAAGAAAGAAGACATTTTTTTTTTTGACTCGGCATTTATTTTTATTCGAATTTTTTTTTAAGACGCTGAACGATAAATGGAATAGATGTGAACAAATATATAGGTATGAACTGATTTAGATAGATAGATAGATAGATAGATAGATAGATAGATAGATAGATAGATGTGAACTGATTTAGATAGATAGATAGATAGATAGATAGATAGATAGATAGATGTGAACTGATTTAGATAGATATGAACTAATTTAGATAGATAGATATATAGATAGATAGATAGATAGATATGAACTGATTTAGATAGATAGATAGATAGATAGATAGATATGAACTGATTTAGATAGATAGATAGATAGATAGATAGATAGATAGATAGATAGATATGAACTGATTTAGATAGATAGATAGACAGACAGACAGATATGAACTGATTTAGATAGATAGATAGACAGACAGACAGATATGAACTGATTTAGATAGATAGACAGATAGATAGATATGAACTGATTTAGATAGATAGATAGACAGACAGACAGATATGAACTGATTTAGATAGATAGATAGATAGATAGATAGATAGATAGATAGATAGATAGATATGAACTGATTTAGATAGATAGATAGATAGATAGATAGATAGACAGATAGATATGAACTGATTTAGATAGATATCTTTTAGCCTAAAGAACAAAGTCACAAACTTTTTGTTCTCGTCACCTCTGAAGGTTTTGTCCGTTACAACAACCATTGGGCTGCACTCGAATAAGACGGAGAAGCTTTGGTGATATTTTGAGAAACTTAAAGAAACTGGTATTTAATAATAAGTCAACATAGCATCTAGACAGTGAAAAATAACTACACACGTTAATCTCTTTCTCTCTCTACTTCAAAAGTTCAGCAATGAACACGATCCATACTGGGTGCCCCTAAATTGTGACCTTATACACGGTAAAATGTTCTCATTCTCTAACCCAAGGCCCAAAAGACCCGTCTTCCCTACTTTTGAATCCATAGGTGAGTACAGAAGAGACGGATTCATGCCTTTCCGGGGGGGGGGCATAACTGAGAAAGTGAACACAAAAGACCAGCTAAGTATTTGAACCCGACTTTACCATACCAATTTTCGCACCTCCTATTTATTCCAGAATTTGTTCATATGTATCTCAATCTGAATCTCTATCTATAAAAGACAGGATGTGTGTGTGTGTGTGTGTGTGTGTGTGTGTGTGTGTGTGTGTGTGTGTGTGTGTGTGTGTAACGAATGCACGGCCGCAATTTTCGACGGATTTGCACCAAAATTTACATGCACATGCTCCAAGTTATCGGGAAGGCCAAGACCGACATTGCATTTCCCAACTCCCATCGATAGTGGAAATAATCGATTTTTTCATGCTTCTACGGCAGTTTTCATGTAGTTTGCGGCCATTTTCTACTGGCCAGAGTGAGAGCCAAGAGCTGGCTGCCACGAATAGACAGGAAGATTCTATTGGTCAGCGTGAGAGCCAACAGTTGACTGACACGAATGTTAACTAGCATGCTAGCATGCAAAAATAATCGATAGCTGCATTCGTCACAAATGAGAAAAATTTAAATCTGCATGGCACTTTACTCCAATTGGCTCATTCGCTTGCTTAAACTCAACGTTGATTCTGATTCCGCAGAACTGGGTTGGGTGTGAAAAAGTATTTGTTGTTAACATTGTTTTCATTCGGTTTTTCCAGTTACGAGTCTTTTTTTAAAGCTGATCGTTTTGTGTTCATTTTGTTTAGTTCTTTTTTCGTAACAGATTTAATGTTTAGTATAGAGCTTAGAAAAAATTCACAGTGTGAAATACGCAAGAAGTAAGGCATGTAGCAACATCAACACGACAAAGGGCACTCCTTTAAAGGCAAGGAAGGGCAAAAATATTTTCAGTCAAGTGGATGTGTGGGTGGTGTAATAGGTAGCGGCTAGGAATGAAACATCGGAGATTTGAGTTCAGATTCCAGTTTGAATCCATCTTCCCCTCAGCTACAGGTTAAATAGTGGAAAAATCATTGTTATAGCGATTGCTGTACAGTCGTACGATTTTTATAAATCATATATATATATATATATATATATATATATATAGTATATATATATATATATATATATATATATATATATATATATATATATATATATATATATATATATATATATTAGATATATATCTATCTATCTAAATCAGTTCACATCTGTCTCAGTTCATATCTAGCTAGCTAGCTGGCTAGCTAGCTATCTAAATCAGTTCATATCCATCTATCTAAATCATTTCATATCTAGCTAGCTATCTACCTATCTGAATCAGTTCATATTTCTTTCTCTTTTTCTATCTATCTATTTACCTACCTCTCTAAATCAGTTCATACCTATCTATCTATCTAAATCAGTTCATACCTATCTATCTATCTAAATCAGTTCATATCTACATATTAGTTTATTCGTATACACACTGATATCTATTTATCAATCTAAATATTTTTAGGTCTATCTAAATCTGATCATGTCTGTCCGTGCAAATCTATGCAAGGCATAGCAAAAGTTAAACTGAAAAATAATAATTATCCTCTTTTGGTAAGCGACGATCAGGTTAGATATTTTGTTTAAATAACTCACTCGATGATTCACAGTAAATCTGAGTCCGCTTCAACGTCTCTTTTTCATCGTCGTCGTCTTCTCAGCTTGACAACGCACTGACCGAAATCTGCAAAAGGGCGTAAAATATCGCCCAAACCCGGGCCAACTCCACCAACTTGAACCAATCAGCTCGCAAACATGCTAGCCGGTTTGAAGATTGCTTTTTCACACAGGGGGCAGATAAGTATGTAGGTAGTTGGATCAGGGAGCGGCTTTTAGGGTGTGACTCGACACAATAGGACCGAGCAGAGTGGCTGTCAAGAGCTGCAGTCTGGAAAGAAAAGACTTCTTTTTTTTTATGGTTGATGGGATTTTAAGGCAGACGCGGTCTGAGTAGTCGTATAATGTGACGAGTAGCAACTCGTATAAACTAAAAAACGAATTCAATGGTAGGCGAATTGAATTTACACTTTACAGTATTTTATTATTCTCACTAAGCATAGTTTAGTCGGATTACCAATGTAGGGAATCCAGCAAGGTTCGAACTCACTACACAGTACTAATAGCCTACTAATCTAGCTAACTAAACTAAGCATTGCAACTTTCTGAACTAATTGAAAAGTTACCATGTTAGTCTAAAGTATTTAATAATTTGATCTGTCTGTCTTCCAAGCTGTTGCCTGTTGTAATCTATTGCTAACATAATGAATTCGAACTTCACTAGTGGATGTGTGGGTGGTGTAATAAGTAGCGGCTAGGAATGAGAAATCGGAGATTTGAGTTCAGATTCTAGTTCGAATCCATCTGCCCCTCAGCTACGGGTTAAATAGTGGAAAAATCATTGTTATTCTAAAAAAAGTTGTTAATGAGATATTCTTTCTTACAATCAAATAAATGTTCCGACTTTAAATAACCTACAAAGCGTTGATAAATCGTAAAATAAATCAATCACTCGATCGATTGATCCGCACAAGGCGTCTCAACCCAATCAATGGTACTATTATTATGGGATGCGACCAAGTAATGTAAAAAGACAAATACGTAGCTTATTTCACTAAAAAATAATTTAAATTTTTAAAAAAAAAAAAAATACAGGTGCCTTACGCTTTTTTATTTTATTTATTTTTATTTTTTTTTTTATTTATTTATTTTTTTTTTTGTATTTTAAATACGAAAAAGTTAATAAAAGACAGGAATTTTATTTACCTTCTTCGAAATGTTTATTTTTATTTTAATTATATGTCCTTAATTTGTTTTTAATTACCGTATTTATATTTGACTATTATCGTTATGTTATCATTTTGTCGATGCGGGTAAACTTCGGGGAACTTAGAAATTAATTAACTCTTCATTTAATCAACGAGAGTAGATTGTTTTTGTTCCGCGGTCTATGTTAGGGGAGATAACTCAAAAAATTATCTCTTGCTATCATCAAAACGTTTCGACCGTTGTGACCCCCCAAACCACAACCACCACAGGTGTTTTTCGATTTGGGTAACCTTCAGGGATTTCAATTGAACCCTTCATTTAATCCATGGGGCTAGATTCTTCTCGTTCTGATGTCCATGTTCAGAGATATTTTATCGAGTTCTTATTTAGTACTGCTCAGCTATTGCTTTAAATCAGGACTACTTGGACCAGGGATTTAAATTCATACTGTCACCAAATTCACGAACCAATGTTTTAAACTACTAAGCGATTTACCGTGAAACATTTAAAAAAATTTTTTTTTTTTATTCAGGGTTTATCATAAACTGTTGTCTGATAAAACACACAGAATTAAGGAGAATAAATTGATGAACAGGTATAAAAATAAATTGATAAAATAGAGGGGGTGAAAAATGAAGGCGTCTTACAACAGTTTGCCACAATGTCTAAATACAATCATCCAAAAATACTAATACAGAAATATACGAATATAGAATCCCACACAAACTTAACGGACAACGAAAATACATTACAAGTGACCAACTCACTTGAACCTTTGTGATCTCGTAACATCAGTAAAATATTTTGAATTACCATAATAAAAAGAGAAAAAAGAAATTAAGCAAGGTCTAAATAAATTAATTTAGTAAAATTAAAAAATTACCTTCCTAAATTCAAACATTATTAAAAAGAAAAATTAAATTGACGAAAAAAAATAAATGTCAATATTCCAATGGCGCTGCCCTCGTTAGTTACGTGAGTTTTGTAATGACGTCAGAGCCTCCATTCTGACGTCATTATACCAAGAAATTTATAGACTACTTAAAGTTTGTGACATACAATTCTGACAATGCATTATCAAACATGTCGTGAGATAATGATGATTTGTGTACAGACACACGTACACACAAAAATAGAAGATTTTGAGTGGACGTAGCGCAGGATTATAGTCATCTCTAAGGACAAAAAGAAAATTTTATTTTTTACTTTTAACTGAATGTATGGATTGTTAAAAGCTAAAATAAAATTCATCCCTGATAATGGCTAAAAGTATAGCCGAAAGCGCTCGCACATACAAAACATTTGGACAATTTCTATATAATTTACGTTCAGAAAAGAAGAAAATTATAAGAACACGTGAACAATTTAATAAAAAAACAAAACAAAACTAAACTGTTGTAACTTGTCAGTTGTTTTTAATGAAATTTGTATAAAAGAGGGATTGCTGCCCAAATATACAATTATATATGTTAACTTCCTTTATCCTAAGAGTTTTTTCTTTTCTTTTCATGTCGACAATATAGTAAAACTGACAGAACAATTCCAGAAAAGGGCTTACGCAAAAGCGTCTCTCTCATTTTAAATTTTGGATTTTTATGAAAACAAAAACATTTCGCTTCAATGTTGACGTGATAAAGTCGGAAGAAAAAACGCGTCGGCAAAAACATATTGAAACTTTATGCCAAGCGGTTTTTAAGGTTCCCTGTGAATTTGTGGTATTGCTATATCTGTAGTACCGAATGGTGAGGGATGGGCTTTTGTGGAGAATGAGAAAATTGTAATAATAATAAATGACTGTGTCATGAATCAGATTAGCTAGGTCTAGGATAGAAAGTGTTTCACGATTTTACCCTCCAGCCTTGTGTCACAATTGTTTTAATTAAAACATTATATATATATATATATATATATATATATATATATATATATATATATATA